TACCACGAAAAACCGGTCGTACTTGCAGTCTAACGATTGGCTCGGCAAGCCACAGAACCGGGTTGTCCTGGAGTGGCCGCCAGCTGGGTCTTAGTGACTTCAGTGGTGCCATCACATCCGAGAGCCAATGTGTGCTAATGACGTCTGCGGAAAAATGTCTGCGTGCTGCTGCTTCCTGTGTACGAGTTGCAGGTTGCTTCTAAGACTTCACACAAACCAGTCCTCTTTAAAAAAGCCAAATGTTTGTAAATGTACGTGTGTCTATTTCTATTTTTAGTGTATTCCTTCTTTGTTCATGCATCTGCTTTGGTGTACACTTGTCTGAAACAAACTACTAAAAAAGCCGTAGTCAAACTCCACATACATGAGTCGTGGCACGTCCGGGTCGTCGGATGCCTTTGCCAACGTGGTTCAAACAGACGCCCCACCGTTGCCTCCGGTGTTCCCTGTCATGGTGCGCGTGTCTGAAAATGTACATCTTCGTGGCTTAGATTTCAGCAACCAACGCAAAGTCGTGGTACTGCGGGATGTTTACAGTAAATCCTTCGTTGACATAGCCCAAGAGGTGCGAAACGTTGCGGGTGGACGACCATCTCCCCGGACTTGTTGCCAGTACTATCAGCGATTTTCAACCGTGGCTGGCCGGAAAAAGAGCCAATATCATCAGTGCGGCCGTAGGGCGTGGAAACTGACTGCAGATGTGCGGCGCTTCCTGCTGCAGAGGTTGAAGAAGTTAAGACAAGAAGGCTTGTGCACATGCAAACTCTTGCAGACAGGGCTTGCCCGACAGAAGGGTATTTGCGTAGAGGTGAGCACAGTGCAGAAGTTTTTGAAATCACAAGGGTACAAGTGGCTTCCACGCGCGCAGAAGCGGAGGTACACAGCTGTGCACATGCGGGAGCGGAAGGCTTTTGCCCATGCAGTTCTGTCGCTGGGAGTCCGCAGGTTGAGAGAGAAGCTGTCCTTCTCCATGGACGGATGTGTTTTGCCACTCCCACCGAAAGACCACACAGACAGGCTCAACTTTCTTCAGGCCTCGGACACCCACATGTGGCGCCTGAAATCGGAAAGGTTGGATCCATCATTGGCTGGCCAGGACATCTTCTCCAAGCAGAGTCCACTGGACCGTTGCGTTCCTCTCTGGGGTGGCCTCAGCGAAGGCGGTTTTTCCATAGTGACATTTCACCAGAAAAAGAAATTGACCAAGGCTGAGTGGGTTCAGCTTTTGAAAGCAGGGAAAGTAGTATCAGCTGTACAGAGTCTGCGTCCAGTGAAAGCACATGGTCCATGGCACATGCTTTGCGACAATGAATCTTTCCTGAACGCAGCAGAATGCCATGCACAGTACAGGAAGCTGAAGCTCCACCTGTGGCAAATCCCACCACGTTCACCTGACTTGAACCCAATAGAGAGGTTTTGGGCGTATCTTCGCAAGCGGCTGAGGAAGCTGGACCTCCAGGACGCGCTGCGCGGACGACCTGTCCTAGGTAAAAGGGCATACAAGGCCCGAGTTCGAATTGTAGTGAAATCTATGCACGCGCAGACAGTGGCCAAACAGATCGCCAAAAGCTACATGAAGACTTGCCGGGAAGTCGTCCGCAAAGGCGGAGCTGCATCGTCTGGGTGAAAAGAACACTGTTTTGTCTGAGGGAACAAGCATCTTGTGTCTTGTGGAGCATCCTCTGGTATTCGGGTTCCAAAACTTCTATCGCTCGTCTGGTGCCCAGGTCTTGCAAGTAAATAAAGGCAAACTGAAAATCTTAAAAACAAACCCATAAACGTTATGTAGTATACATACTTTTATATACGATGACCGATGTTTTCATAGAATCGTTGAGAAAAATACAACTTTTGGAAATAAATAGCGTTATATATTTGATTTGACTATATCAAATATATGAGTTAGTGTCAAAAATATATGCTTAGAGTGTTTTCGTTTCACTTTTGTCAGTCCCCTATCGTTTTCCATGGTTTTGGATTTTGCAAATATGTATACATACGGGTATCGTTTCTTGTCAGTCCCCTATCGTTTTTCAAGGAAAATCACGAAAGCAACACAGAGATGAAACGTCCCTTATTAAAGTGGTTAATAATAATTTTGAGGTTGCCTCATATATAAATGAATGTACGAAGCATATCTATGTATATTTATACGTATATAAATATGTTTGGTAAATATATAGCTGTAAAAGAACAGAGTACTTTATAAATTGACATTTAATTTAAAAAATAACGAATCAATTATCTATCAATGCAATACCCCTTTTTTAACGCACTGGCCAGAAGAAAATTACGCTTGTTGATGTTAAAATTCATAACAACCCTATCCCCCTAAAATCCTACACCATAAAACCAGGGAAAGTGTAGGCGATCATTTGTCACCCCGGAAAGCCTTTTATTATTAAGAATTTAAAGGAAAATAATAATTAATCGTCCCACGCCTATTACGAAAATTAAACTTATTAATTCGATCCGTCCTCAAAGTGTTTTATAAGAAGACTAACAAATGTAAATTTTTGTCTACCTAAAGTATAATAATAAATAACGTAATAACAAATCTATTATAATAAAAACCAAATCCCATAGAAAACTATTATTATATTATCCTTTTTCATTTTAAAATCCAATTAATTTTATATTGCCAAAAATCATATCATAATATATAAAATTTTATATCTTTATAATTTGTTATCAAATAATATCGTAAATAAATATATTTCCGTCCTTTACCATTAAATATTCCAATTATCTTTAAAATCATTATAAATAAATTCATACAATATCCATAAATTTTACAAAATTCAAATATTTTGTTCAAATATTTCTTCAAATAACCGCTTAATTATACCTAATAACCAAGATTAATTCCGTAACCCAATACGGGCGAACCGACGGTTCGTTAAATGCCAAAAAATATATTAGTATTTAATATGTAATATATAATATCATAATATTTATTCCATAATAATTTTTTAGATACCCATCATCTTCCATATCATTATTCCCACCATTACCATTCTATAGAACCCATTATATCTAATTATTCTTACAATGTTATTTCTATTTAAATATGAATATATATGAATATTATTTTCGAGAGAGCCGCGTTGGGAAAACTCATTTGTTCGAAGCGCGACGAAACCAACACAGGGCACAGGGCTAGCATGCGAAGGAGGTTTAGAGCATCAAACCAATGTGAGAAAATTGAACAATTCAGCCATTCTTTCCTGACTTGAGTAGCCAGGAGAAAACACAACTCTCAACTGCTCGGACAGAATGTGACAATCCCCCACAAGAAATGATTGGCACACACTCACTGAGAAAATCAGCTTTTGACCTTCCTCTTATATAGATCTTTACCAGCACACATGTCTTCGCCTTCACCCTGGTCGGAAGCGGTCCCTTTCGGACGCCGTTTCGCCAAAAACGCGCGAGTCGGGCAGCTGCACAACTTCATCCGATGACATTTTAGGCTGGTTGCACACAACGTGGCAACTTATGAGAGGAGTTCCGCTAGCTGTTAGCATGTATCAGCATGCAGCTTGTCCGTGCTTGTGACAATGTGTAGATCCCTGGACCCCAAAATAGGTCTCAAAAGTGGGCTAGTCTAGATCCAGTCTAGTCAGTCTAGTCTACCATAAAGTTCCGTCAAACGGTGATAAAAAGGACACTCAGTTGAAACCCACAGAATCACAGCGCAGCTTCAAATGGATTCAGCGCCCAAGAATGCTTCAACAGCAATCCAGATCTTGCGCAAAGGCAGTCATCTTGCGCACTGTACAGTGTGGCACAGTCGTGCCTGCGCATGCTGTTCTGTATTAGCGGGGATGAAACTGTAAAGCCCCATCTTCCTCAGGTTGGTGCATCAAAGCAATTCCACACAGGTTCATGCTTGTCCTTCTTTCCAAAGCCTAGACTCACCACGTCGAAGCATTGTCTGATGGGGCACCAACTCGACCTAGACTCTACACTGAAAATTGAAGAGATTGCCGATTTTAAAAAGAGGGTCCTCAGCCTTCTTAGCTTCTTTCAGCCGAATGGGTGCTTCACAAAGACAACGACCCTAGGAATCCACTGCGCCAGACGTTGGAAGGTCCATCTCTAGTTCGACCATCTCTAGTTCGTCCGAAACACCCCCTGAACAGGTAGAATGTCTAGCGCAGTGAGTTCTGGAAAGTTGAACAGGAAACAAACAATAAATCATTAAAAAATCCCATGGATCTTTGACAAACACACAAAATGGTCAGACACAAACCGTCCATATCACTTATGTTGTCTTACAAAACCAGACCTTTTGTCCGGCCCTTCCTACGTCTTTACATCAATGTGTCTCGCCGATTCCATGCGTCTGTCGGCTGATCGAAGATCGTGGCCCCCTCCACGGAATTGGCCACCGACTCATCTCTGTGTGTCAGCGGCAGATCGGCCGAGGTTTGGGCGATGGATAGGAGTCCTGACTTCTTCATGATAATCATTTGATCATAAGCAACGTCCGCACACCTAAAAGAACTCACATCTCATAAAGAACACATCAAAAGCCCACAGGATTCAAAATATCTTTCCAAGGAGGGGGGTCTCGCCAAATTACCATGAGAATCGATGCATTGATTATCCCCTTCAACAGTGTCGCCTCCTGAATACTTCCACCCAAATCATCTGCCAGCTGGCCTCTTTGTTGACCAGCGCACGCACTGCATCTGATTCGATGCTTGGGGAAAAAGACCACGCAGTGAGATCTCGTCTCTGCCAACCAGTTTTGTAATGATGATGTTGGCTGAGACCTCGACTACCCTAATCAACGAGGTTTCCAAAAACCTCATTGAACTGCTTCGGACCTCACGGCCCAACAAGGCCTTAACAAATCAACAAATGACCGGAGAAACAAAACCGATAACCGGAGAAATCAATTGTTTTGAACACATGTGTTTGTTTTAATGTGTTGTCTATTGCATAGCTCTAGCTCTTTTGTTTGACCAATTATATAACATTGTAAATTGTAAGTGCAGTTTGAGGACCGCAAAGTAGACACCTTTCTTCATAGCCGGGCTGTGAATTACAAATGCATCAGCACTGGCTCCTCACCAGTAGTCTGCGAGCGGCGTCCTTCTGTGGAGGTCTTGCTGGGTGACGTCCAGTGTTCATTCCTTCATGTCATCTCCAACGAATCACGTCACCAGCAAATTCACCCTCCCTAATGCTGCGCCGCACGCAAACCAGTTTCCACCGGCCCACTCCAATCCTCCACCCGCGAGGCGCGGAGGCTGTTTCTGCCGCAGCGGGGCAGGGGCTGGGCCGGAGCACCACGCTCGTGTCACGCCTGAGGGGAGTGGATTTGGGACCAGGAACCAAAAACAACAAGATATCATGAAGTTTGCTTGTTGACACCTTGAATCGATTTTTGCACTGAGAGAGCTAGGGCTCGAGCAATCAGGGTTAACAGCGGTTCCTGAAATTGTTAGTGTTTCATCCTGAGTGTGCCAAGTTCCTGATGACATTGCATGAATTGCATGATGTTCATTCTTGGTTTTCAGGAATTTGAATGGAGGATCTTTCAAGATCCTAGCAGCCCGTAAGAGATACCTCGTTGGATTCTCAGATGAGTTGGTGTTGCAAAAACGATTTCAGTGGGTCATCCGCCAGGTTTAGCCCTGAGCCAGGCCATCCGCAATTTTTTTGGAGACCTTCTTCCATTCTTCAGGGATCGACGAAAGCCGTTATTCCTATGGGCGCCTCAAATATCTCTGTATGGGGATTCAGCTAGCTTCATTTCCCTACAACGCAAAGGCTGCCTGGACTCGAACAGGTGGTCAGCTTGCTCGGGTGTCCACCACCCGAACTGGGTGGAAACCCAGGTGACATGTCTCAGGAAGGGCGAAATGCATACGTCCGGCAGCCCCAAATCAAGGATTGTGGACCAAAGGGGTAGATCTGGGTGTACCCGCTCAAGAAGTATAGTGGTATGGCTACATTATGCTACATTTGAATGCCCAGTCTCGGGATTTGAATGCGCAGTCTCTTGGAGGATGTCTTCATTTCACAAAGTCAGATCATCAATTTGGACGCCAAGAGGCCTCTGTGTTGTCTGTCACGCGCCAATCACAGGGTGGTGATGGTAGCCGCCCTGGCAAAAGCATAGGACATCATAAGACATATATCACGGAACAGTTGAGCAACCCTAAGCCATGAACTCATTTTTTAATGTAGCAAACTCTTTGTGCGGATGCCTTGCTCCCCCCCAAGAACCAAACAAGTCTTCCTTCACAACTTTATTCAAGGGCTACCTGAACATACCTGAGCCCTCAATAGTGCAAGCTCAGGGAGCGAAAGTGGCGTAATAGCACCGGGCTACCGTGACTCCTCCAAAACGACGTCCAAATCGACCGGACGCCGATTTACTACGATCCGAAAGTCCGTGGTCAGAAACCAGCAGCTGCGGATTTCACGAGCATTCCGAGTTGTTTTTGGGATCTAAGCACCACAACAATAGCAGCCGAGGCAGTGCCTGTCCGAGCTTGGACATGAGCTCTGGCTCGGGTCCACCTGAAACATTGGCGTGGGGATGAAGCTGGGGGGGGCATTCCCTGATTGACTCCTTCTTTACAACCGATCTTGAGCACAAGTACTTGCAAGAGTATGCAATCAACTCTCGGTGGTCGGGATCAATGAAAAAATGTGAGTCTACGGGGGCTGCTTGTCTTAGTTCTTTGAGTCAAGGGGGCCTGCCAAGTCAGTGACACAAAACCGACTTAAACCTCTAAAACCTCAAAAGTCCTTTGTGGTTTGTACAAGTTTGTACCCTACTAGGTTGCAAATGAAGGTCTGAACACATTTGTGTTATTCTTTCTTAGTGTAATGTGGGCTCTGCACATTTTTTTTGCTCGATTAATCACCCTCCTCGATTGATGAAGACGATTTTAAGCTTGAATAAATCAAGCTAGTGTGCTTGAAGAATGTTTGAAGCTTTCTTCAAATGATCCGTCTAGCCATCTCTGACCACAAGTCCAGCGCCGGATTCGCTGACCCTTTGGCGTTGGCCTCGAAGGCTTGGGTGAATCTCCTCGAAGTCCTTGAAAACCCGTGGAGCTTTGATTGAGACATGGAAACCCTGGTAGCTTAAAGTTGACCTCCTCCTTCGCAGTCTATTCAGTTCCTTTTCGGTGGTTGGTTGAAGGGTCCCCCCTTCTTGGACACGCAAACAACCACATAGATTTATGGTGGTTGGATGTCTATACCACCATCCGTTTGGGGTGCCCTGTCTGGAACTCCCAAACAAACTGTAGCCTGTTGGATACCCCAAACGGATGGTCCTGGTAGTCATGGGATGTCATTGGTAGTTAGTAGCTCGACTACGTTTGGATGATGAGCAGCTTGAAATCTGGAACGTCGATCTGCGCCCCTAGCTAGACCGTAGCAGGCATGCTTGGTCCCGTTCGATCGCGGTGATTTTAACCGTCCAGCTGTCACTTGTCTGTGTACATATATTGGACACACTATTACACCCATGATCCAAATTCCCTCGAGGATACAAAGGTTGAAACCATGCAAGTTGACAAATGACTCGACTAATCAAACAAACAACATCACAGGCCATCATAGGCCATCTATGCATGTTTATGCCCACAATATCCGATGAAGTCCAGACTGGTTCGGGTCTCTGGATTGATTATTTGGTTATTCCGTGTCATTGTTCAGGATGTCGATTGGTGCTCCTGAAGGTGAACTAAACATTTTAGGTAGAAAAACATGGTCAGGTGTCCGTATTTATCTGTGTGGGCCCTACCCAGCTGAGCTCTCCCTCAAGCATTGTCCTCTTCTGCCAGCTGAGCTTGGAAAGGCTGCGAGGCCACCTCCCCGGCGCGATGGGGGAAACAGTTCCACTACGTTCCTCCAATCCAACATGCCAATCATCTTGGCAAGGGCAAGTCTTCGTACACACTCTTTAAAACCACATGATTGTGTAGAAATCAAGCAGCGCTTATTTTGCGGGGGCCCCTTTGGCACTCAGGGTCTGTGGTGATTTCTTTTCGTATGGCCCCTTGTTATGGGACCCTCAAGAACGACTGCGTGATTTCACACATGTTGGCCCTCCTGAAAGTCCCCCAGATTGCTTTCTGGCAAGAATCAGATTCGACCCGCGCTTTTGCTATATACTATATACATGTTTATCTGTCTTTGAAAACCATATGCAACATTCTACAACCAGGGAGATTTGAGACGCCCTTTTTGCAAGGGTGGTTCGTTACTGCAAATAAAACAGGACGCGGTAAAATCATGCTGCTGTACATGGTAAATCACCATCCAGTTTACTTATTCAGCATCAGCCTGAACCAACTGGTTTTGTTCAGATGCTTCTAACAAAGTTTTGGAAACAAATTCAAATGGTCCCAAACCCCAGTTAATTGACTTTTATCCATCATCTGTGGGCTGCGGTTTCCCAGAAACCTAGCCCAACAAGAATGGATTGCCATTTTGATGTCACATGAAACGGCCCGCATCAAGACCTCCGACCCAGGCACAGTCGTGCACAGACCCGTCCTGTCGAAGCTGACTTTGCAGCTGCTGCAGTCGACCTCAGAGGCGCTGCTGCATTAGGAAAAAATGAGGAAAAACATAATACAGTATATATATATAAGCCGGTAGCCAAATAGCCACGTGCATTCACATTCTCCAAGAAAAAACGTCTGTGCTCTTCGTATATGCACTTCTTGCCAACTTCTCAGAAAACGCGTCTGCAGATCTATCTTATCTTTCAAGCCGCCAGATCCTGCTCAAAATCTGCAAGCAAATCCTCCTCAAACACTGTGGGTCTGTGAGGCACTTCTCCATCAGCCTCTTGCTGTGGACTGAAGGCACATCCGAACCGGACGACTTGTCAGATTCAGAGCAGCTAGAAGATGACAGTTCAGGCGCTCTTGCAGGACCGTTCTCTCTCCGATCTTGTGGCGGTGGCAGCTCAACAAAGTCACGGGCTGGCCGCGTCTTCTTGCAGCGCTGCTTTGCATCCTTGTAGGAGGTGCAGTGTAGGGCCAGGCGTTGTTGTTTTCTTGCTTGTAGGCCGTCAGTAGTGCTTCGGCTTCTTTGGATAAATTCTGCCGCGCCATGTCAGCGTCCTGCAAAATCTTTCACCTGCAATGTGTAACATATTCTGTTACAGCATCTACTTGCTGCTAAACATACACCAACTGCATCTGCCAGAAGGACGTGGCCTCATCTGGAAAGGGCTCGGCGTCCGCATGCTTCTCCAGCACGTCTAAGCCTAAGCAGGAATAACTGATTGGGGTGAGCAGTTTGTGGTGGATGGTTGAACGATTGTTCATTTCATGCGTTTGGGTTTGATTTCTTAAGCGCGATGACATCCTGTTTGCTGTATTTGTTGCAGTGGCACAGTCCTTACTTCTGAAAATTGAAAACGCATGTGAAGGTCAACGCGCAGGAGCATACGGTGCGAAAAGTAGTCTTTTAAAACGCACGGCTGAAAAGTGTTGAAAAAACACAACGCAAGTAACAAGCAGGCTAAAGGGCCAGCTCAGGCCGCATGAGACAGTCAATGTATCGACATGGACCTGCTTCTCAGCAGGATCCTGGCCTGAATGCACTTCGTGCACGATGAGACGACGAATTACGTAGTTCTGGGTCAACCGGTCAACCCTCGCTTTCTTAACAGCTGATCCGAGAGCTCCTGAAAAAGGTGAGGCCTTCCTCTTTGCTTGCTTGCTCCTCCTCCTCTTCTTCCTGGAAGCACCCTTGCCTTCGGCTACCCCCTCGCCTGCCTCCGCTTCTGCCTTCAGAAAGCTTCAGCTTCTGCCTCTTCTTCATCTTCTTCGTCTCTTCGCTTCCGCACGTCTTTTGCTCCTTTCTTTAAGGCTGCTGAGCTCCACCTCCCTTGAATGGCCTATCTCATGATAGTGTGGCCATGCTCGTCCTCAAGAATACCTTCCGCATTGCCCATCAGCTCTTCCTCATGCCACTGTCTCCATTTCCTGGCATTCTGGGGGCGATCCTCTGCATACATGATATGTCCTATCAATTGCTGTGACTGAGGTCTCTGGCGTCGCTAGCCACCATCGATAATATGGACCCGCAGCCGCTCTTGTTCCAGGTCCCAGGCATGTCTTCCACTCCCCCCCATGACTGGGGGAGGCCAGCAACTCTTTGAGCCACAAAGTAGAGTTTCTGACAGGATCGACAAGCAAACACATGACATAACATCACGCAACTATACACTCTGCTGCTCTGCGTTTGTATGAGCAGCTAATCTCTAAATATGCAACCCTTTTCATGTCGCTCATCTTTGGCAAAGCACCGAACTCCCGAAACAACTAAGCTACATTGCAATAATGCTCTTTCATTTGGAACAAGGCAAAAACCGTGATTCCTGGCATCCCCATGGCTCCTTTTCGTTCGGAAGAAGGCAAACATCGTAATCCCTGGCATCCCTTGCAAACGGTGTGCCCCTCAAACTCAGCTTGCCCGCTTTTGGTGCCAAGCAGCTCCCAGGGAGCAGCGCCGTGTCGTATTGCTGGGACTCTGCAAGATCATCGAAGCTCCGCAAGACGATGCAACTGTAGGGCGACATGACCTCAACGCGTTCTGCACGTTCGGCACGTTCGGCGGATGGGTCAAAGCAAGGAAAATTAAGAGAAGATAGATCAACAAGGTGTTGCACCACATGGGAGAAGTGGCACATTGGGAAGTGGCCATGAACCTCGGAGGTGCTCTTATTCGAACTGAGCTCTTGAAGATTCTTCCAGTTAACATAGTGATGAGTTTGGAGGGCCTGGAATAGACTGAATATACTGGAATCCAGGGTCGGTCAGTCCTCAGGATCCAAGGGAGATACTGAGCAAAACCTCTAGTACTGCATATAGTACGAGAAGTTGAAGAACAAGTGGTTGGAGAGGGTTGGAGGGTCCTTATTTTGAGAGAATCCCAACTGGGTTTGGCATAGGATTGAGGACATCTACTGAGTGAATTTGAGCATATTCCCCAAACAGTGCTTGGGAGTTCATCCTGGTGTTTCTTCCACAAAGTCTCTAGCTGAAAGTCTCCCATGCTGGGGGTCTCCCAATATGTAAGCCTTGCTAAGCAGAAGTGCAGAACAAGGTGCTGACCCTAAGTGAGCTGAGAATGGGCACCCCTACCCTCAAGTTAGAACATCATTGTTGCTTACAGTATATATACACTTCTATACTATCTTCATCTATCTTCTAGTGTGCATGAGGATCTCTAGGGTATGTTGACATCGAAGCAGCTGGTCTGTCTTTGTCAGAAAAGCTCTTGCGGCTTCTGAGACCTCTCTGCTCGATTCCTCTAATTGCCGTAACAAAGCTTCTCACCCCTGCTTTCTTTTGCAAGTCTACATTCAATCATACTGTTACTTAACCCATGCACATGAATTGATTTTGCACCTAGTCATACCCAGTCAGTTTCTTGATGCAAGAGACGTAGCTCTCCCCCGTGATGACCTGGGCATCCTCATCACACTCGCAAATATCCTGCATGCTGAAATCAATCTGCCTGCTGAACCGCCACTGTGGGTCTCCACATGTGAAGCTTCAGTTGGACCATGGGTCAAGGTCATCTGGAAGTGTGGAGGTGGCCAGTTCAGTTCGGGGACACATGCAAGGGTGGTCATGTTCGGGGACCCCTGCAAAACCAATTCTCTTTGACACACAAGAATCCATGGTCATCTTCAGCCACCCTGCGTTTGGTTCTTTAAATTCTCACTTCCGCCACCAACAAGCAGGTTGCAGTGCAGTATCCTAGTGACTTGGGGCAGTCTGCGTGCTACTTCGGACAATTCATAGCAAAGTTAGCTTTGTTTCGCCTGTCATCATGGTCATGGGGTGGAAAGCTTGTTTACAAAAACTCCGGCTAAGTGCAAGGGGTCAAGCAGCCAAGCTGCCGCGGATGGGGTGCAGTGTGCAATCTTTCTATCAAGAAACGGAGGGTCGGTCCTCAAGTTCTTGAATCAGCGCGCCCACCTGATTGTGTCTGATCTAATCTAAGAGACCTAAAATGAAAGCCTCAAGCCAATGCCAAGTCAACCCCTTGAAGACGTCGCCCCTTTCTGAGGAGACCTGCTTTACGCCCTTGGGCTCCAACCATATCCTGAGAAGGTGGTCAAACCCTCCAAACCTACCCCGATCACCTTCTCAGGAGGTAGTTGGAGCCCCAGTGATGGATAAGGGACACGTCATGACACCCCTAGCCTCCAATAGGCACTCGCAAATGGAGCTCCTGGCGAAGTTTCCTTGTCCTTCGGCTCCCTCTTCCACCCTTCGACTGCTCGCTCCCCTGCTCCTGGGGGGATGGCAAGCTGCTGTCGACGATGCGGAACCACTCGCGCCCCGCGGGCAAGCGACAATCGTGGGCCTCGGCGAAACAAGAAAGGCTCAAGAGGGGGTAGGGTAGAGGACGCTACTAGGAACAAAGGGCATCGCTACTAGGAGGAAAGACGCTACTAGGGGCTCCTGGCCTTACTACTAGGAACAAGGACGCCTCTTGCTTGGCGAAACACCTCGTGACCAACGCCCAGTCGGTGTACGTACGTCCTGCTACAGGGTATACAGGAGAGAGGAGGGATATCGCATGAAGAACAGCTGAAAAGTGAACCATAATGGTGAACACTTGCCCAAACACTCAATGTATGGAATATATGCCATACATTTGTATACAATTTGCAATGTAGGCAAACATGGCATACATGGATTGTCTGGGTTGTAGTCACATGTGAGCTATTCGACTGGCACGGACGACAGCTATTCGAATGGCCTCACCTCAAAGGCTACGACTTCGCACACACACACACACATCCTGACCACGTGGGCACATTGCTTCCATCAAGGATTGGATCAACGGTTTGAAAACCCGCCCGAACATTTGCTTCAGACCGTGTCCTCGATATTCAGGTGTTCCATGGTGTTCCGTTCGTGAGCGGAGAAAGCATTGCGGAAGAAAGGCCAAGTTGAACCAGCAAGCGTGAAACAGTTCAGACCGGTAGGAAAACACTTGTCCTTCTGTTTACGGCGCACGGTCCCGGCCTTACCACCCTTCATCCTGCAGCCCACAGGGGCCCTGTCCACCTCTCTAGGTTGAGATTCCCCTTTGTGGCGGGATTGTGCGCCAAGTCACCACATGCCCTGCGTTGAAGGCCTCGGACAGCTGCAATCTTGAAGACCAAGGCCAATGGTCTTCGGATCTTCTATCCCATAGAAAGAAACCCTGACTTACAGATATAGATCTACTATGATCTGATGATCTACCTAAACCACCATTTCTCTAGGTGAGACTCCAGGTCACGCTCTGACAATTCCAAGTGCTTTTCCTGAGAGCGCTTCGGCCTGGTTTTTCTTAAGCTTTTAAAGCCCAGGTGCAACGAGCAAAGCGCAGGTGCGCTGCTTCTCGGTGGTGGTGGCAGCTGCCGTGCTGTCACGGCTGCTACCAGCCTGGACCAATGATGTCCGCGATTTGTCGTGGGTCAACAGTCAGAGTGTTCCGATAGAAACTGAGTCCAAACCTGGCACTACTCAGTTGGGCGATGGGGCTTTGGTCTCAGCATTAAGAAAAGAACAAAACAAACAAACATACGACATCTTTAAAAAGGGAACGAACAATCAGTTGGTCGAGGAGTTTTTTGGGTCCTTGGTCCTCTGCATTTGAGATACACCTAGCTGCCTGAAGCCTCAAGCTCCAGAAACCGAATGATTTGCCATGTAGGGTCACCTATAGGTCTCGGGTCTCACCTCTCTCATGTGCTTTGCGAGAATATTATATGAGAATATCTCACCACAGAATCGCCACTGAGATCGCCCTGAATGGCAGCTGGGCACCACCTGATACTTACGATACTATTAACCAAACGGACGCAACGCGGCCAGCCGGCTGCTAGCGCCAGCGCGCGCAGCTCTGACGCACCGGAATCTGGTCAAACAGCTGTAAATATTTAGAGTAGCAAGGTTTATTCGGTCAAACTGATCCGTGAGATCAGTGGATTCTTGCTTGATTAACGGACTGTGAAAGTGTATTTTGTGTTAGTAGAATTTGGATACTGACTGGATACTGGATATCCAACAGTCAAGCTTTTGGATCTGTAGCTTCTGATGATTCTCCAGAAGCGTGAGATCAAGGGACATGCAAAGCGCCACTTCGAAGCTTGCGTCCTCTTGCAATCTTCATCCCCATCCAACAATCAACCATCCCATCCCCAAGAAAATTCAGGCACCACTAGAACCCAATGGTTCCGTTTCAAAGACCCAAACAACGTCAACCAATCGTAAAACCTCAACAAATTCGAAAACCTCAACCCTGGGACTTCCTGGGACTTCCTACCCCTCCGAGCAACCTCCGGTGCCGCGATGCGCGCACCGCGCCTGGCCGCACTCGGACGCCGCCTCCGCGACTTCGCCGCCCTCGGAGCCTTCGCCCGTCTCGGCCCCTGCGCATCGCGACTCGAGTCCGGAGCGTTCGGACGCTACGATATAGGGGCTCCTGGCCGTACTACTAAAGGCATTCTTACTACTAGGCACAAGAAACTACTAGGTTGGAGGCCATCACTAGTAGGTTGAAGGCCATCGCTACTAGTAACAAGAAGCTTCATGTTCTAGTAGTTTTACCTCATTTTCTAGCTACCTCGTTAATGTCCAAAAAGTACTAGTAGCATGCAAACGATCTAGAAAGAAGTCCGAAGGACTTTCCATTCGAGGTGTCTGTAGCGCGACGTGGGCTCATCTGTCCAAGCCAAGGCTCATGTTGAGCAGTGGAGGTGTCCTCTTAGAGGTTAAGGATGGTTGATGGGGTGTCCCCAAATCCACAGAACTTCGAAGGTCCTGGTAGAAGGCAGTTAGATTGCATTTGTTCATTCTCGCGGCCCTGATCGCTCGGATTGCTCGGAGAGTTGAGACTGGCCTTGTTTTCGTGAAACCCACACCACGGATATCAACGTATCATAGATTATCATAGTACGATTTAGCATGTCATACAGTAGGAGCAGTTCTCCTGTAAGTTGCACAGGTGGACAGTTCACGTGAATTTAACATGGTCATAAAGTGGGCCCAAAAAAGGACAAATAGTGAATGTTCTAGAAAACAAAAACACTTTCATTTTAACCTGCCACATTTGAGAACCGCCACATCTGAGAACCACTAGGCCCTAGGCTTGTTTGAAAGAACCAGCCTGCATCAGACTACCCCCTTGAAGCATGGGAAGCACCATTTGCTTGCCAAGATCAAGTTCCCCTCTGCTCAGAGTCTCCAGTGCCTTCGATCTTTCCTATTGGCGATGGCCTCCAACCTACTAGCGATGGCCTCCAACCTAAGGTTTCTTTTTGGCACTGCTGCGTTACACGTGTGTTCGCCCTCCCTGATTTGGGAGTCGGAGACCTAATATGGCGATGTGGGCGACAAACACCTCAACACTTGGCATCACCTTGGCCACCTCGGCTGACCGCTTCCCCAGAAAATACAGGTTCACCTTCTTTGATCGATTCTACCATCCATGCCCTCCTTGAGGCGGCATCTCACCTCATCTCTGACCTTTTCCATCTGTTCATCTTATTCTAGTGGGGAAATGCATCCCACACACGTTTTGTCTATCAGTTGATCCAGTCACTCGGAACCGTGCTCCTCACCCGGAGCCGTGCGGCTCACCCATCCTTCACCCAGGCGGCCCACAGACCCCCCCAGACCGAGCTCGAGCGGCAAGAGGTCGGGCCTCCACGGTGGAGGATGTAGGAAATAAAGTTGTAGTCCGACTCCCAATCGTCGTGGTTCCACTGAATCGTCTCGTGCCTCGAGAATGCAGGTACGACGGGTGAAGGAGAGGTTTTCCACTCAAGGCCTGGAGGCCTCTGATGGCAATCAAGACCCCCTGACTCGTCAATGCCCCCACTCCAACGACTGGTTTTGGGCCAAGGCTAGGCTTGGTGGCTCATCCCAAATGAAAATACCATAAATACACATAAGACTCATTTGCCTTCCAAGCCAAATGTGCTATGCCGTTCAGAGCCTAGTCGATGAGTCGGCGAGCATAAAGAACTTTCCGCATGCTCAGCCCGTCTCGGGATCGTCAGCTCAGCCCAGTTTGCCGTGTCCTTCGTTCCACCCCACCGAATCCATGCCATGCCAGCTGCGGCCAATCGGACCAAAACCCCACGACATCGGACGAACAACACCCACCGCGACATCGGACGAGTACGAGTACGTTCCCCCAACCACCCGTGTCGTCTCGGGTCCACGTTCTTGGAGCCCTAGCCTTCAAAGACCAAAAAGAGTGCTGTGAAGACCTGGTTTTGAGTCCATCACTCCAAATCCTGCGTCAAAGAGCGACCGGTTCTTTGGGATTCAAACCCTTGAAACAATCAATGGGCGACATGGCAGGACTCCCACAAATGGCTTTCTGCACATTTCTGGACCGTGCCCTGTCAACATCCATTGGTTTACCATCCGAGAAGCATCCCAAAATACTATGGTGGTGCTGCTACTTGATCCCTGCAGCCTACTACAGGTCAGGAACAGACCTCATTGTACTGGAGCTGATCATAGAAAAACACGACTCAACAAGGTAAAGGACCAAGTTTTACTGGGTCAGTCTGGACCTGTAGGCGGTCGTATGTTTGCCGGAAAGGTCATCAAGAACATCTTGTAATAATATACTGCATTTGAAAAAGTGATTGTAGTATTTTGTATAAAATTGCATAAAACCACATTACAGTGACAGTAATAAGCAAAGCATCTTTCTTTCGCACCGACGTCCCTTGCGCTCCAAGCTTCGTCAAGAAGGTGGTTCGCTCCAGCAAGTCCTCAGTATGGACCACAGTACCTACGCTCTTACAGTGTAAACACAAAGATCAAACTATCTATAACGAAACTAATGAACCCTTGTCGTCATGGTTTTTCAACTGGGGATGCCCAACTTGGCCACACTATCCACACTGCAGCTCATGTCAGAAAACAGGTATGGCTACAGTACCAGAAATATCCTGAAACCTCCAAGTACCCTAGACAATTGGCTACAAGATCTACAAGTCCCTTCTATAGAGGGTCATTCTATCTTCAAGTGTACTTTGCAGGGGTAGTATCATCTGGGACATTTTTCAGCAGTGCCGCAATGAAGTCGATCTCTCTACTTGACATCACAACCTCTTGGCATGGGCGCCTCCAAATTATTGGGTCACCTACTGTCTGCCCAACATTCGGTGATGTTTCTGAGACCCCACCTGCTTTAGACAATGATCATCACCAACAAAAATCCACACACACACACATGGAATCATTTGCCTATCCTCTTAGGGTTTGAGGTTTTTGGATGTGTTGCATGTCAATGTACGTATAGGTCAATAAATGGTACTGTCACATTCATACATCGTGTGGGTCATCCATCGTCCGCCTCTGCCTCCCCCCGTGTTCTCAAAAACGCTCCCTTAATACGTCGAGCATCCCGGTGCTGCTTGCGAAGGCCCAGCGCCAGTCGGAAGAAGCGCACCAGGCCTTCAGATTCCTGAGACGAGGTCACCCAGGTCCCTCTTTCCCGAACATGGCGGCCAGGGTGGCGAGACCCGTTGGGAATGAGGGAACCACTTATATAGACTTGCAAGAGTACTCTTGGACTCCAGGAGGAAAACACGCCCAACCCGGCGTAGTGTGAGTGGCTTGTTTGTATAGAATAGAATCATATAGATAGCCTTTTTATGCTCTGTTGGCCTATGTCACAGTTCCAACAAGTAAGTCCCGACATGTCCCGACTCTACCCCCGGAACTTTTTCCACTTCATCTTTTTGGTCTTGAAGGCAGCATGTGGGTGTTTGAAAATGGGTTTGGGCACGGCGGAAGAACAGCTCCAGTGCTTGACGCATGCATCCCCAGCAAGAAGTGCTGGTTCAGTTGACACCTACATAAACAATGGAACACATACATGCAAAAGGTACAAATCAGTACACAAGGAACTGGAATGGAACATGGTCAGGAATCCTACTGTTGAAGGCATAAATCACCGGAACTGCCAAATTGTACATGTTATATCGTCCAGGTCGTCCCTATCACTTCGAGAACAGGTTGCACGTTCGATTTCTTGCTGAGATCCAGGGATATCCAGGGGATCTATATCAAACTGTCTGACAGGGGCCTTGTGCTGTCGTTAGCTGGTCCTTGCGAGGTTTGGACCTCAGCGAGGTTTGGACCTCGCCTTGGCACAGTCGGCCCAAGAGAACCAGTTCAACTCATCCTGGCACCAGGTGTTGTTGTTGCCTCCTGGGCAAAGGAAACATCACATCTTGCACGTCGGTTAATCCCTGCAAACATGGATGTATCATGATGTATCTACTGTATGATCTCTTCCAATGTGCGCAATTTGTTTCTTCACTTACCAGAAACACACATCCATGCAAGTCTTCCTTTCATTTGTCTTTCCTGGTGGGTGATCCTTAGTTTCACCAACTGGTGGGGCAATCACATGATTTTTCACTTTAGACCCGCCTAAAACAAGAGTTGGTTCTTTGAACTTTGAACTTCTGTTCCTTGATATACACGCACAACAAACAACCATCCAGATTCAGGACCCAACAATTCAGCACTGACCCCTCAGCTAGGTCAGAACTCCCCAACTCCATTAGTAATCCGTGTAGTACGTCCGTGTTGCACCAAAAGGAGCGGACTCCTCCAAAAACGCAACAAAAAACCTCCCATTCCACCGCCCCATCCACGGCTCCTTGGCTGCGGCCATACCTCGGGAACAAGGGCGGTGGAAGACCCGGTCTGGGGCCGTCGACCGGCTCCCGCTTTCAGCCGGTCGTTTCGAAGCGTCTTGGAGCCAAAGGGATCCCGAAAGAAGATCGAAGTGTGGGAGACCCGGACATTCTCAATCTCTATGCTTTGTATCTTCGTGTGGTATGATGATGACATGTGATGACATGTGTGAGCAACCAAGGTTGCCTCAGAAGTTGCCATCTTCTAGACCCATGTGCCAGCTGTGAACTGACGCCGGGAACACATGCTTTGCTCTTTGCATATAGTGTTTCTGCTCAGTGCTGGTGTTCCCTACAGGTGTTCCCTACAGTGTCCCAATCGAATCAAAGCACAATTGTTTCCAACAGTGACATCTCAAGTCGATCACAAAAGCTTGGTAAGGTATTAGCCCTAAGCCATTCGCCATGGAATATGAGCTTAGACCCTCCAGACACCAAGGAAGGCCAGCGGCAGTACACCTTGCAAGCTACCATAGCCAATTTTCTGGCCCCCAGCAAAGTACAAGTAACATCTCACGATTTACACTCCCTAAGATGGAAGTGGAAAACCCCTGTTTGTAGAGGAACATGGTCTTCCTTTCGGGGCCATGTTCCACGTGAATTCCAGCGGAGTCTACCATGTTGTGTCTGTCAAACCCGCACATGGCCCATGGCAAGGCCAACATGGCCCATCTTTCACCGTCCCAGTGTGAAGCACCGACGACCGACGTCAAGTAGCTCGTCACCGGAGGTGACCATGGGCGTTCCCGCAGACAAGAAGAGCGCCAGGATCATGTTCCGCATCCTCGACGACGTTCAGCAGTTTCGAATAAAACCCAGGACAATTGGCCTGCATCATATCTCTTGAATATGGCCATTGAATGGCAGTATTCAGGAAAACAATTCTATTCTATGGCTCTTGAAGACAGTATTCACTATTCGAATGAGGAGCAAAATACCAACCATGCAAAGCCTACAAACCATGGTGTTTGCTAGTGCTGCTAGTGTGTGGATGTTCCTGATGGGCAAGTTGATGCCCTCCAACATCCAACAAACATGGAAGTGGAACATGGCCCCTTGGAACACTTTTTTGCTCTACGAACAGGCTGTATTCCACTTCCATGATTGTTTCAGGGAATATTTCTAGGCTTTGTTTGGATGGCTTTGGGAGGGTAAACTGGGTGGGTCGCCCGCATCCGCCCAGAACTCTGGGGAGGAGTTGGCTGGAGTTGAAGCGAATCATCTCTACTTACTTATCATCAGGTTCAATGTTTGTTTTGTTACGTACGGAACATCCAAGATCATCCAAGTCGGACAAAGCTTGAAGCAAACTAGGGTTCGCCACCAGCTTCTTGAAAGCCCTCAGTTTGAGCCCACAACCCGCAAATATTTCACAGCATTCCCTCTCCTGCATCTTCGAGCTCAAAAACACACCAACCCCCCACATTGGGCCCCACATCTTCAGATCAGCCCAGCATCTGCTGATCGCGCAATTTCATGATGTCTTTCTTCTTGCTAGGCCCTGTTTTTTGCCGCAGGAACCGCCGAACGGGGTGACCGGGACAGGTGGAGAAAGCCAGCGGTCTGTCAACGGGAACTTGAACTGGGCCATTGGGCATCTAGGACGACCAGCTTGGTCGTTGCTATTTGCTGGCCATGTTTGAGGCGTGCATCTTTTGGTATACGCGCTAGGATGCTGGTTTACCCTGTTTCTCTCTTGCAACACATGCACTTTTCAAACGAAGAGACCACCCAGTGCAGTAGAGAAAGTCAAAGCCTTTCAATCCTGGAAGTGTTGGGGCTCCAACGACCTCCGAAAGAACGTACACAGTCAGCTGCTGGAAGCCACCCACCAAAAAAAACACCAACGCTGAGGAGGTCTGTCCTCAACATGACGAACCCTGGGCACCTCCAAGCAGCTTCCGGCAGTACCAACACGACTCATCGATGTCAGGTTGCTGACACGTGGCAGATACGCAACCTGCTCTGGACTCAAAGTAACCCAGCCCAAATGGGGTCAGGTCAGGCCTTCATCATTTTCTTCGCCACAGTTCCATGAGATGTTGTTGTCTTCACCGCTCTCTTCGTTGTTCAAATGGTTGTGCTTCTTGTTGTAGGAGACCAAGTCACCTTAGCAATCAGCGTCATGAAAAAGGCTTGATTGCCCTTGACATGATGACATTGGAGTGCTGAACATGGACTGCTGCTAAAGTTTCCTAAAAGGATCACTTGCAAAGCCTTGAAACTTGTTATTGTTAGTTCAACATATGGCAACATGGAACATCATATATAATCATCATATAATATAACCATATACTTTCCTTTCAACATCTTAACTTGCGATTTAGCCAGATGTGACGCGGGATATTCCTTCATGTACCATGTTTCTTCCCCAAACCTTGCGATCCGTGAACAGAGGCACACGTCGACCTCTGTACGTCTTGGTTTACCGCTTGAGGTGCTGTCTGGGTCACTTGACCATTACGAGGGATGGCCCACGAGCAAAACACCTTTCTTAGAAGACCGTGGCAAAGCTGTTCCAAGCACCTCTTTTTGAGAGATTGGCATTGACACAAAATTGACAACATGTGTTTGTCCGTGGTAATATATATACATACCCAAAACATCCCGAAACTCCAAAGTTCACTCCAAGTTGATGTAATACATGTGACCAAATACAAGTTCTCCAACGAACTCGGCACCCTCATCTTTCTGAAGCCCCCAAAGGCAGGCGCCGTCGGAGTCCCCTGTGGAGCTCTCCTCTCGAAGCATCACCGTCCCATCACGACCGTCCCCACCACCGAAGGAAAGGCGGACCATTCCTCTCACAGCCCAGCAAGAACGCGCTCACAAGAAGGCGGACACTTGTGCTACACTCCCCTGGAACCATCATGGAAGTGGAAAATTGCCCCTTGGACGACCTTTTTTTTGAAGCTCTACAAATAATTGGTTTTCAAGGTTTGCCACTGCCGTGTTTATTCCAACGAGGATGGGCCATGCTGGGCTGGCAAGCTAGATGCTCATTCCAGCTGCCCAACACCAGTCGCAGCTGGCTGCGAAACACAATCTCCAGACCACAGGAACGACTGAAGAATGCCCACGTGAAACCCAAAAAAAAAACAAACGGAAGGTCGACCAGAAAAAATTAGTCAGTCTGACTACCAGGTGACATGATTAAATTAAAACCAACGAGCCCAAACCCCGTCGCATTGGTTTTGTCTATGCCCAGCGGCGGAGGGTGAAGCCATCATGCGCTGTGATGAAGTTGATGGAATGGCATGGCCCACGGCCATCCGGCTCGTAGAGGTCAGCGCTGCCACACACGCGGGTGGCAAACCTGGTCACGCGGGAGGCGCGCTGACAGTCTGACGATGTCTGACGCACCTACTCTTGGGAGAACCGAACTCGTGCACCGAGTTCTGATGCTATTGATGACTCCGGCAGCCTGCAGGAATTCGTTCAACAGCAATTCTTGGAGGCAGGTCATGGCACTCCGTACCCCTGAGAGGAGCCCTTCAACATTGCACTCAAAGAACTCTACCTGTTCACTTGCTCTTCCCTCAAAAAGGAACATATCACATCAATGCACACTAATTCAATGACATGCTGCTCATCCAGGCTCAGCCCTAGGTTGACACCACGTCCACCCCCCGGCTGGGTGCCACGCACCTTTGTGCCGCCTAGGCACTCGCCCTTCATGTTGGGATCGCCCTTGATGAAGCCCCGTACCGCATCACGGAACCTCAGGACCGCACGTCCGGAGCCGAGCTCGGCGTGAGCAGAGCTGATCACACAAACAAGGTTCAGAACTAATATAGAAAGGGCACAGACTTGGACAACTTTTGGAGAAGCGAACGCCTCGTCCGTCCAACGATCTTCTTTCATCTTCCTAATGGTCAACCATTGTCAACCAAAAGGAGCAAAAGGAACCGTTGCACACTACTGCTCATCCTCTTCGTCCAAACTCGAATCCGTCTGATCTACACTTGAGCCGGGTGATACCCTGGGATTGGCTTCACCGTCCCTCCGTTCGGCCTCTACCGTCGTGTCCCGTTTCTCAGCTCCCGTGCTTGCCGTTCCACTCGGCCCAGCGAGGGTTGCCATCACCGCTGGGGAATTGGCCGACTAAGTAGCCTCGGGAGCAACGGCGGACTGTGACCAGGAGACCCGACGCCGCTGGAATCGAGGAGGTGTGGGAGCGGCATAGCTCGAGAGCTCCCCCAAGGTTGGGGCGAACCAAAGGGGTGAAGCAATGACCGATACAGGTCCAGCAATCATGATTTTGGGATTAATTTGGGCAATATTTGACATCTTGGACGTGGAACCTTTTTGGAGATTCTGTTCATCAACCCAATAGATGTTGCTGATACGTATCGCCGATTGATGGACTGGCTCCAAACGGGCTCAATTGTGTGCAGCTGCTCAATTGTGTCTAAACAAACGGAATATAACCACCATGGACCATGTATTAAAAAAAACATAATTCTAACCATTCAATTGTCACATCTTCCACAAAAACCATGAACAAAGTCCGAATTCCGTGGCAGCGTGGCGCCTTCAATCCGCAACAAAAATAGAAAGCTTTATTTCGAGCCATGAAAAGATTACGACATTACCACTGACTTGTCTATCTAAGATCTATAGCTGTATAGGGTCAGAACAAAACCCCATGCCCAACACTGCCACGGGGCCATCGGGCCAAGCGCAATCCCATGGCTCTGCAATGAGCTTCACGTGTTGGAGGCAAGGGTCGCTCACCAAGCGGCGGATGAAGGGTGGCTCCTTTCCGCTGCATCTTTGGGGCTGAGCCCATGGTGGATGGCAGCAATTTCTACGATGGCAAGTATGTTCATGACACACTGTGATGCCTGCAACAAACATAACACCGCTGCTTAAGAACCAACGAACTCTATGATTCTGTCATGAAGTGATATGAAGCGTAATTTGAGTTGGGCATCCCATGAGTTCTTTCACAACAAGCCCCCAAGAACATGCACATTGCTGGACCCCCTCCCACCAAACCTTTTGAAGAACATTTCAAATCCCACAGCCGCAAAAAGCACACAAAGCGCTCCGGCATGCATTGACCATCACCTTGGAAAGGCATGTTCTGATGCCATCTCAACACGCTACTTTGTGAGGAGAATCATGGCCCAAACTACCACTTGCTGGTCACGATTTCGAACAACTTTGGTTCTTCCATTCCGATCATGCCTTTCTGATGAATCCAAAGCTTTCAGGATATTACGATTAATGATACACCATTCAAAAGTTCGTTTGGTAGATAGCCTGGATAGCTCAACCCCAACAAACAATTGCCCAGTGTCAGCTTGGACTCACCAAATCTGTCCCAACATGGATGACCGTCGATCTTTAGGACAGCGCTCCCCAAACCTTTCGGGACAGCGCTGGGTGCTGGGGCTTGATAAGCTCGATGACTTCCCAAGAACCACCACGAACGCAGCAAGCAGATAGACCAACCACATCAAACCGCCAACCGTGAAGATTGAGTACACCAATTGGTTCGGTAAGGTGAGATGAACACTCAAGGGTATTTTTGGGGGTTGTCCAGCCAACCATGCGTATGCTGAAACCACCTGGCTAAGTCAATGAACATACCACTGGATCTCATTATGAGGCAGTACCTGTACCAGAATGAGTTTGCTCACTGTGTTCTTCTATCTTAAAAACATCCATGACCTAATCTTCCGCCCGCTTGATGCTCAGGATGGCCTCTAGTACTTCTAGTGCTTCCCTGCCACGTTCTGGCTAAGCAAATCGACGAAAAAAGCATCAACGATCCTCGCCGAGAGCACAAAGAATCCACGGCTGCTTGCAGCTTTCGGTGGTGACCAGTGTCGGTGCTATCCCCTTTGGGTTCTGTGTTTGGCATGCCAATGACTGCACATTACCAAACTGTTATAGTATGCTGTTGTCAGTTGCTTAGTATGTGACGATCGATGTGGTTCTATGCAATCTATGTCATTATTTCAGAGAATTTCTTGGATGACTAATGATGTACAGTAACTGAATGCTCTTCTGCTGAATGTACACCCCAAGCAAACGTCTCGCCATTATATCAGAACATCTCTCTTGCTTTGGCGAAGTGCACATCACTACACACATGGAATCCAAGTGACTTCCTCTCGTCAAAGATGATGCGAGGTCAAAACGAAAACCGTCCACCTGCAGCGCGGGCGTGACACACACAGCGAGGGCGAAGGCTCCCGTGGGTGGAGAGGGGTCCAACGGGCCGCGTGAAAAAACAACGGATGGGCGACCACGTGGGCGTGGATTTTCAGTTTGCCCATCCTCCAAAGTTCCATTTTCCTTTGATGATGTAACAACAAGCCGGCAGTACATACCCTAGAAGTGGTTGTGATCTACCTGAAAATGAAGGCCATGGTAAGTTGAATTGTCGAACCCACAGTCTGCTTGATCCTCAGAGAAGAACGCTGAAACACTGAAGAGGAGAACCCACGAGATCCTCTTGTCACCCACGTTTCCCGGGAATGAGATGTTTCTTTGCAATCCCTAGCTAGGGATCCAGTCGTACCTTCTCACAAGGTAATTGGCCCTCCTAGCACCTACATAACTGTGTTGAACACATCACCTTCTCCCTACAAAATTGCAAGGGCTAAGACAGTGACCCACAGGCCAAAGTAGTTGGCACACGCTTGAAAAAAATGCTTCGCAGGGCCAATGTGCGGTACTGTTGACGCTTCCCTCAGGGCCACTGGAGAGAAAAATTTCACATCATGGTATTTGCATGTATTTGCAGTCCTTTTGACGTTTCCTTCATGTGACCTTGCAATCGCAGGGCTCATGGCGGGTGGTGTATCCTTTTGAAAAAAATCTGTCAAGACTCGTAGCTGCTTGGAAATCTTCTTGCTCTGCTCAAACCTTCAGAATTATTCTATTGACTTGTTCCAGAACAAGAACTGGACTTACGATCGCAGCACAAACTTCCGAACCGTTGCAAGATTCGGTGTTGATGCTCGAAGGAAAACAACCAACAGCTTGTCTTGCTTCTGTGCCTAAACACACCCCAAGCAGCTTTGCCCATATCCCAGCCCGTGGTCTCTCAGCCAGGTAGCGTGCATGTCCAAAGCCCAGTATCGCAAACAATCGATGATCCACTCGGTGCAATTGGGATTGTTGGCATGCCTCGAGTGAGGTCACCCCATCCAGACGAACAGTCGAACCGTCCAGACCCCAGACCAATGCGAACCGTCCAGACCCTCTGCGAACCCGTCCTGACTGGATTTGGGCTTGTCTCTGAAGGGTCGTCTCGGTTGATTTTCCCCCAAAAGTGGTTTGTAAGGGAACATCTGCAGGAAACCCAGACTGGAGGCGAATCACCATGATTTCCGGTCGAATTCCTATATATATATATATTGAAAACACATATATATATATATATATTACATGGGGGTGGACTGCACTGCCAGCAGATTGAGACGCATCAAAACGATGAAACAACGCCGGAAGAGAGCAGGAGGCAAAACCAAGAAAATGAACATCCTGAAGATACCTCAAAGGGCAGTTCGACTCCGCCTCTACAAGGGCAGCATACAAGCAGGCATAAGTTGGGGACACCAGGCAATGGGTTTGGCACCACAGATCCGGTAAAAGCTCAAAGCAGCAATGGGCAGGCAAATGGGCCTGCAACGTACGGGGGAACCTCGACATCCTGTACGATATGCAACCACGGCACAAGGATCCAGCCTATGAGGCCTTCGTGGAGCAGATCAAGGTCTACCACCGGTTCTATGGCAACTGGCCGGAACACCTCCAAAGAGACATGGAGAAAGCTTGGAAAGTCACAAAAGAGAGGCTCCAGCAGGCAAAACATCCGTGGCAAGTCGCCCGAGGACCAGTAGCAGCCTTGATCTGTTACCTCCATGACCATGGGTGGAACACCGACACCTACGACCTCTGGACGAAGCCTGGCCACAATGGGGAGGATGAGTATACCCTCAACATGAAGTCCAGCTGGTACTACCTGGTGGAGGAACTCCGACGTGCCCAACGATGTGAACGCACTCAGAACATCCAGAAGAGGCATGACCTACAAGAAGTACAGAATCATCTGGACTGGCTTCCTTGGAGAAGATTGGACAAGCAATCCAACACCAAGGTCCGCACAGCGTTGCAAACTTGGCACCAAGGGGCAATATTCACCAAGATGGCGGATGGGCAAGAAGGCAAACACCTCCAATGCCCACATTGCAGCTGTGCAGCTGATGCAATTCATTTGCTTTGGCAATGCAAAGAGACAAATCGTCATTTCCCACCACTACCAGGTGAAGTGGCAACAGAGTTGGAGCAAGGAATCAACAGGGAGTTTTGGCTCCTGGACGGGGTTGGATGAGATCACCCTCCAACCTCATGATGCCATCACGATAGGGATCTCAACCACAAGCAGCGACAGCCGGCTCAAGTACTACGTGGTCACGCTTCTACATCACACCCTCTTTGCCGGAGAAATGTACCGCATTGGGGCCATCAGCACAGTGCTACCAGGCAAACAGACGGTAGCCCGTGCCTGGTACTACGGCCTCCGCATGATCGCCCATTATGTGGATTTGCAGTCTATGGTGAGGGTGCATGTACTTTCAGTCAAAGCATGGCAAGGCTGGGTCAAAGGACGTCACCATGAGACCTTCTATGACTTAGCCGAGCTGGTGACATGGGATCAGCGGCAGCGCATCAGGGCTTTGAGCGTGACCCAGCAGCAGATCAAAACCATGCCAAGCACAGGCCTGTCGTTACGCAACAGGTTCAAGGATGCAAATCGGGCAGCAAAAGAGTTCGCACTTTCAAAGCAACCAGTTGCTATTGAACAAGAGCTGCAAGAGCAGGATCAGCGGTATGGCCAATACGCGCCAATGGCAGCTGCTCGCATCCGCTTCCTCCTGGAGACCCAAGATCATTTCCTACATGGTAAGAAGGCCACGGGCAAAGAACAACGACAAGAAGCACGTGAAGAGAAGAAACATCTTTATCTGGAGATTGGAGTCACAGGTCATGAAAGGGGACACCAATGGACCTCCAAGGGCCGAGGACTACAGTGCCGGAATTGCAAGAAGCAAATCCATCAACGGATGCCCATGGCAGTGTTGAAAACAGCCAAAGATGAGGCATGTGGCCAGCGGCATTCCCCTCACCAGAGGAGAAGCACCTTTGGAGTCGAAACAGGACTACATCACCAGAATCCTCGCGGAGAACTCGGTAGATGGTCACCTGTTCACCCTGCAGGCCAACTACATTGTGTGCCAGAAGTGCAGCGCCAGGGTTCTGAGGAACTCAGCCAGAGAGAAAATCCAGCAGCTCCATGAAGGACCATGTTGGTATGGACCGTGGCAACCACATCCACGGTGGACGGGCAGTCCCACGCACATCATGTGGAGGAAAGGCAATAAAGTCTACTGCCAGCACTGCAACGGACATGCCCTGCTCAAAGAAGACTGGCAAGCCAGCCGGCCTTTGCAGCGGCCATGCACTCGCGAGGTGCAGAAGCAGACTACTCTGCCACCCGTGTTTCGGCCAAAACGGTCATCTGACGAAGCAGACTGAAAAGGTCCGAGAAAAAAATATATATATATTACATATATAAACCAAGCCAATCCAATGGACTTGTCCTCAACAAAACTCCGCCCAACTCCACTGACTTTTGGGTCTAAAGCCATCTATCCTTCTTCTGACGAAAGAGACCGACACGTCCCACCTGCTTCGACCTCCCGTCGAAACCGGCACCGAACCCATGAACCCCACCTGGTGACCGGAAGAGGCATGGCTCGTGGGTTCGGAGCTCGGTTCGGAGCTCGTGGATTGTCGAATGACGTGGTTTGTAAGGGTGTTAAGATGTGTGAAGTCATGTGTAAGTATTCCAGACATGGATGGTCTGGGATGACTGGGCAAGTTGGACTCACCGATGGGTCGCTCTGGTGTAGATTTGGCTACCAAGCCCTGAACCCAGCGGTTCAGCACGTGCAAACGTGTGGCAAAGTGTTCCCACAGCCGGTGTAGTTCGTGTGGTAGCCATTCGACATGAGGTAGTAGTGGTCTCGGAAAGAGCCGCGCAGGTCACGGACCCCCTTCCAATCTTGACCATCCTGATGCCCGTAGACCATGGACAGCGCTAGACCATGTGAATCCGTACTGATCCTTCCGGACTCCCTTGCTTCAGCCTTTGAGTGAACAACATCCAAGTGTTGTATGCACCATCCAGCCCTGGCGAAACGGCTAAACCCTGCGAGGTGGAGATAGCGATGCCAATCGCTCCTCGGTTTTACACCAGACACACAGGACTCGAAGAAGACGGACTTGGCCGACATCGCCGACACGTTTGGGGGCACCAAACCGAAAAGAACAGCCACAAAAGGCACCAAAGTATGGGGTTTTCACCTAGCCCTCAGCACTGCTTCGCCGTGCTTTCGGGTTGCAAAGCTGTCCCTGAGAAATTGAAGGTTGCCGGATTGGCGTACATGGCATACATGGCCCGACAGTCAGCGACCTGCTGATGTCCGACATCTTACAGGGTCCAGCATGAAGGTTCTAGTTCTCATTTGAACGCATCATTTCTTTAGACGAGGTTGTCTTTAAACATCGATTGGGAGTGCAGCCGAAGGCTGAAAAGGGTCCGATGGTGGTGGATGTTCTCTACTTGACAGTGGCTTTGAGGCATCCTACTAAATCTACTAATGGTCGAGTCCGAAGCTCCATGTTCCATGTTTTGGTTACGTTCTCTCTCTCTCTCTCTCTCTGTCCGACAAGCATAGAAGTGGGTTTAACCTACGGAATACAAGAGGACCATCATGCTTGAAGGGTCTATTTTGCATTGTGATCAAGTGTATGAAGGGTCTACGGTTTCCATCTATTTTCCATCTAGAAGACAATCATGTTCCATGTGGACTTTGGATAAGACTTGATGCCAGTGTCCCCCCCAGTCAAACATCCCAGCCACTGACGGCCACTTTGGCCAGGCAATTCCAGTTGCTGACGCCCCAAGCGCCCTCTCCAGTGTGGTTGAAGACCACATCTAAGACAACCTGCGCCACTTCAATGGTCTTTATAAGAAGAGATTTCGTACTAATTACTAGCTATATCTAGCTATCCATTCTTTAGCGTTTTGGTTGGATGCGTTTAGTATGACTTTAAATCCCAGACCTCTGGGCGAAGGACGCGCATTCCTTGTGCAGGCTGTACCCTTACATGCAGTTCAATACGATGACCCAAGTGTGTAGCTTGAACCTCCTGCGTGTGCACTCCCAATCGGCTGAGTGACCTGTCCCAAAAACGAGCTGTTCAAAACAGCACGGACCTGGACCACATTCTTTGCGCACTTGCAGTTCACAACTCCGTTATAGCAAGTATCTTCTAGATTCTAGATTCTAGCGCTGATCTACTGCCAAAGCTTCAGAATCTTCAGATTCAACTAGCTTGGTCTCTCCAGCTTCTAGTCTTCACTCCAAACCCACGCAAGTCCATTAAGCCCTCTGAAGAAAACAATACCATGCAACATTTTTGGGCACAAACAAACACGAAACATCACAAGTCGTGCGTACTCACTCACTGCTTCACTGATTAGACCTTGCACAACCTTCAGAATCCCCATCGCCCCCTACGCCCCGTCTGCTGCTCCACGCCCCCAAGGTAGACCGCCTCAACTCACCCGCCCAAAGAAGAAGCGGAGCCCCCCCGCTCGGCGTTCCTTGGGCCCCCCCACGCCCCCCCCCCCCAAACGCCTCGATGCCATTTCGGTGGAGCTCCCGCACCAACGTCTTGAACTCCACCTCGTCGAACGGACGGCCGCGACGTCGCTCCCGCGACGTCGGACAGGGACGGGCGGCCGTCCCGGATTAGGGCCGCCGGGTTCGAAGGGAGAAACAAATGGACTGGACAGCCATGGCCAGTCATACCAAGGGTCTGCAGGTCAAAACCGTGTGGCAGTTTCATCATGTGGCTGCAGTTTCATCACGTGAGACCCAGATCTTCTAGCCACAGCATTCATGGTACGAGTAGGTTACAATGCACATTTGGCTTTAGATGTTGTTTGCTGGTAGCTTACGGAGCCCCTCAGATTCTGAACTTTCAATTAGACTCAGGTCCTTGGGGTATTATACTCATGTCGTGGTGCACTCCACACCCAGCACTGTGGCAGGAGCCTGTCAAATTCACCCTTTTCAAGGCAACTCCTCTGCATGTGCACTTCTGGGTAGCCAGATCCGCATCAATCAATTCAGCGCGCCCAGGCATCAATAAGCCCCAGATCCTTCCTGTAATACTGTTGATGACTATTGATGAATAACTTCCCCCCGTTCCAGAATGGCTTTTAACCATGTTCTATATCTCCAGACCATTCCAGACCCACAGTTGGGTGCTTTTCTTTCATTCAACCGCATCCAGTCCTGCTCTCGGATGCACGGGCTCCCAAATAAAACGGGCTCCGATCAGATCTGGGGCACCCAACAATGGCAGCCCACGGATTCTTGGTGGATCCCACGGCGAAGCGCTGCATGGGCGTGTTGTAAGAACCTCCCAGTGACGACAGACTGCTTCATGTTGCTTCATGTTGCTTCCAAGCGGACGTGACAGGAATCATTGGGTTTCAATGGTTGCATCCTGCGACCATGGATCCGTTTGAAGTAGGGGCACAAGCCTATATGCCTATATGCCACGCGCAAAGCTCTGGGGTCGCAACAATCCCCATCCCAAGGGCTGTTTGGAGCGTCTTCGAAATACAGGTGTCGTCCCTAAGGAAATGGGAATTGGACCGAGTACTTCTTATGACAATCATACTCAGAGGGCTTTGGCACCTTTTTGATCCTTGTCCGGTGGTTGTCCGGGTTGGTGAATGTTTGACAACACATTGAGTGTATAACTATACTGTTTGGAGCTCGCGTCCATTGGTCCCTGTCCATCCCCAGCTGGCCCATCTATAAACATGTGACACTTCTCCTTATAGAGGGCCAGCTCCGACACCCGACACCGAACAAACCGAATGCAGCTCCCAAATGGACGCCCCACCAAACATGGTCAACCAGCCACCCATTTTACGAGGGTTTACCAGGATTCTGTTGGTTTCTCCGCGTCTCCTTGGGGGTTCTACAGTGTGAAGCGGATTTGGGGGTCAAGACATTTCCATTTTGACCCGCAGCCATGGGGAAGTATTTTTAAAGGACATAGATAGTCTCAAGGGCACAGGGCCGAGACCAAGGGCACAGGGCCGAGACCAAGGGCACGGGGCCGAGACCAACAAAATCCCATCGGTGTTCTTCTCCCGCTGTGCCTACAGACGATCCCCTTCGCTTCGTCTGACTTGATAGGGATTCTCATCACAGCCACCGCTTCCTCCGCTTCCTTGACGATCGCCCATGCAAAGGCTGAAACCCCACCGATCACAGATGGTAGCCCAAGCAGCATGTCTGGTAGCCCCAGTACTGACCTGAGCATGTCCGCGGACAACCAAAACCCCAACACAAACTTCCAACCAACCAGAACCATCCCTTCGGGCCTTACCAATGGAGTAACCGCCCCATGCTGCTGACAAAATCTGACTTACACTTCTGAAATAATCATGAAAGTAAATTACATAAGTTCACCACCTCTTATAGAGGATTTCACGCGATGCCATCCATTTTCCCATCCACGTAACTTTGATTCTTTCAGGGAGTGTAGCACAAGTCTTCACTCTTGGATTCAACTCACCGGCAACATCACTGGGCAGCGCCTTGGATTCGGAATCTTTGTGGCAAAGACAACGGACGAGATGTCGACATCCGCTGCTTTCCATAAGAAAACAGCACATTGGAACCCTTCTCTGTCGGAAAACGGTTGCAACAAGAAAAGGTCTTCCTCTGCACCCAGGGCGCTCCATAAACCAGCCACTTGATATCACTTTGATCCATCAGCAACGTGCCGCCTGGAAGAAAGACATGAACACCCCCATTTCGCCAAGGGGCAAAGGTGTTCCCCTGTCTTGGGGTGCTTCCATGGCACCTGTGACTCATCGAACTCGAAGATTGGCAGCAGCTCGACGCCTCGATAAGCCGTCGGGCTGAAGCGGATGCTTTGAACGTGGTTATCAGTGCCCAAAGAATATTTATATAGGAACTTGGGAGGCTCCTATGGGAGCTTGGCAACTTGGAGACAACCACTTCAGCGCGAATTCTGAGGCGAAGGACAGTTGATGCCCAAGTTGAGGAGGTGCGGGATCTTTTCCTCGGCGTTTCAGGAAGGATGTGAGGGCTGCCAGCACTCGTCGTTGGCGCGTTCTCATGCAGTGCATGCGGGCTGGTATGACATGGATGTTTGCCTCAAAACTTGATGGCAGTCATTCCATGCATGTCACCCAGCTGAAAACTCACATGGACCCATGGAGCAAAACAAAATTGCTCCATGGAGCCGGTCTTGGTTCTTTTCTCTACGCGTTGGACTGCGAGACATGACTCACTCAAGTAGCAGAGCGAGAATGGCTTCGGCAACTGGGGAATTTCAGCAAGGACGGCATCGGTACGTGGTACAGGTCCCATGATCCGGGCTTTCATTGCTTTTCCCTTCGAAAGCTTGAGTCGCCAGGCCTTTTTGAGCAGCTATTGAAGACAAGAGGTCCCTCCCAAAAGCATGTTGTCTACTTTCCGGATCAAGATACGGCCATGATATGTCTGCACACATCATGTCTGTATGTCCATGCAAACACCGCGGAGGATGTCATCCAGCCACCAAGTGAACATCCATGCAATGTCAGCCAATTCTCCACAGCCCCCTTTACTGTCCACAATTCCAATGCATGTTCACACATGCCATGACGAGCAAACACAAACTTAAACAAAGACCAATCGAGAAAACCCAAGACATATTTCTACCCACAGTTGTTGCAATCCGGGACCTACCCCACGGCAAATGCATCGTCTTTCTCTCCTCCAGGTCATGCTCCACGCCCCATGCCCCAGCTCTTTCCGAGGAAAGCTTCGATGAAGCCCAGGAAAGTCCCTGGTGCCTTGACCCCGCTGTCTTTGTTCTTGGTGAAACTTCTCACGTGGGCCTGGTTGTTTGAGCGACTCGTGTCCGTCTTGCGAAAGCGATCAGCAGTGGACCGGAATGGCTTCTTCTTGCATAGGCTTCGTGTTCTTGCAGAACACTCCACCCTCCTGGATGACCAAAGAACACCTGGACGTTCATGAATACACACCTTCAACATCTTTCAACCAGGATTGCCTTCCAAGAACGCAGAGTCCCATTGCTTCCTGATCTTCCTGCCACTCCTTTCCCCAAGAGCATCCTTCCCCGAAGCTGGCCTCATAGATGATCAGGTCCTGCAAGGCATAGCCTGGGGAGGTTACACCTGCCACATTCAAGAGAGTGACATCACAGTGAGATCATCGGGAACCTGCGATCACCTGCGATCACGCGTGAGCACGAGGGACGCTCTTGTGGACGAAGACCAACGAGCCCTGCTGAGCAATGGAACAACAGTTGGGTGGAACACACCCACATCGATACTAGGTGGAGGCCATCACTGCTGGGTGAAGGATGGTCACCCAACCACTCATGTCATCCACTCCTCGGCAAGCCCTCGGCATCTCTGGCCGGTGAAAGGGGACCACTGCCGTGAACCCGTCTTTTTGGTTTGCCATGTGAATCGTTGTGAGGCGTTGAGTGGTGATTTAATCACAAACCAACATCTGGCAAGGGAAGTCACCCATCCTTGTGCCAGCATCCTTCCGCATCCCACGTGTTTTCGTGCGACTCATAGAGTATTTGTCCATGCGTTCTTGAAGCTGGACCAAAGGAAACCCGCATCACTTTCTGCTTCAGCACGAACTCGGATTGGCTCGGAATTTCGAAGCTCATCTTTCTGGACGATTGGCCAAGTCTGCAGTACTGCTTGGGGAAGGGGTCAGGGTGTGAAGCAATCCTCAGAGTCAGAACCATCCACCGCCTTACTCCCAACCCAAAGGATGGTGGTCGCTGTGCACCTTGCCAATCAAAGCAATCCAGCGCACGGAAGTCGGGCACCACGGACAAGGGGGCGTACTTGATGTTCTCCCCACGCTTGTTCCAGACCTCGACACCTGTTCCAGACCCGAGGTCGAAGATGGACAGGCGAAAGAAGATGGGATTGGATGTGTAACATAGGGTAGCATACTCCCTGCATGAGTGCTGGGGCCTAGACCTCACAGGAGAACTGATTCAAACATCCCTCCTCCACTTGTCGACCATGTAACCATTGATGATGCCACAATATGCCACAAACAATATTGTAATTGGTTTTGGGTCAATCATCCAAAGGTGGAGAAATTAAATGAATACATGCTCAGCACAGATTCTCAGCCAGAAGGACTAGACTTGACTAGACACCAAGCTTTCAACTTGCTCCTTGAAACATGCGTCAACGAGAATGGGAATATGAAAGGAGAACGAAGAAATCGCTTGTTAATCATGTTCACAGTCTTTCACGGACAACAATGGGATCTGACAACTGCGTTGCTGTTTGCCAGCAAAACTTGCTTTGCAGTATTCGTGTCAATTTCATACACCCATGCAACACTTTGAGACCTCCCTCAGCTTTATGAACACATCGCGATAAACCGATCAAGGGAATCGAACACCCTTAGAAAAGCAACCCATCCTTCCTACCTTAGCTACCATTTGCTACCTTGTATGATATGACTCCGAATCCCATACTAAGTATCCTAAAAAATCCCCAAAAGCCGTACCAGCCACATATGGGGTGCGCCCTCTCACTTCGTCTCCTCTTCCTCTCCCTTTCTTCCAGCAACGCAGTCGGCCTCCGGAGGTGAGGCACCGAGCACAGGGATCCAGCACCGGTTGCTCGAGGAGGGGCTGGTTGTCATAGCTTACCTCCGGATCGATGTGCCAACCTCGCACAGAGCAGCGGGGAGCACACACCACCAAGGTGTGTGTGTATGTCTGTGGGTTCGGGGAGAACCCCAACTCATGGGGTTTAAAACGTATATTCTTCTTCTTCCACGAACTCGATCTGGGAGGTCTCCCTAATGCACCCAACTGGACATAAGACATGCAAAGGGGCTCCATGTTTCGGGGTCTCCCATTGCCTCGGAGCTCGGGAGCTCTTTGAGAAGGGCTTGCGGGGGAGCTCCGATTCTGGTTGGGAGGACCCCTTTCTCGCCCGCTGGCTGGGTCTCGCTTGTGGATCTCATCCACACACGTGGGGAGGGTCTCGGATCATCATCATCATCATCATCATCATCATCATCATCATCATCATCATC